CAACTTGAACCATCTTCAATTCTTTTAGGCTACTTATGTTCTCAAATAATTCCTTTTCCCAACACATATGCTCACTAGCACCAGAATCCAGACACCAGTCGCCTGTTTTTAATTTGTCAGTATAAACCATAAATGCATTTTCTGGGTCCTCGTTTCCTTTTTTATTATTAAAACTTTCTTTTCCCTTTTTTATCCAGCACTGATCGATATTATGATTTTTCTTTTTACAATATGTACAATTTCTTGTTTGGGATCTGTTTCCTTCAAATTCTTCTGAATTTCCTGCAAGGTTTCCTGGTTTTTTTCCTGCTAGGTTATTTTTATTACGGAAAAAACAATTATTTGCAATGTGGCCGGGTTTTGAGCAAATAAAACAGCGTCTTGTTTGTCCTGTTCTGTTTTGATTTGTGTTTACTTTATTAGCTGCTAATGCTGTGGAACTTTCTTGTGATTTGCACCTCTCTTCTTCTAACAACAACCGAGATGTGAGTTCCTCTAAAGTCTGATTATCTGCAGCAACAGACTCCCATGCTGATCTAAAGTGTATATATTTTTCTAGCAAAGACATTAGGATTTTAGTTATGATCATTTTTTCTGAAAGTATTTCACCTGCTGTGTTTAGTTTTGTTTTGATTTCTTCAATTTGGGATAAAAATTCAGATACTGAGTTGCCAAAATTAAGCATGAAAAATCTTTGTTGCAGTAAGTGGACACTTACCACTGACTCTCTATCGTAAACTGTCTTTAGCTTTTGCCACATATCCCTTGCTGTTTCACATGATAAAATATGGCTAAGTGGACTCTCTTCCATTCTTATAACCAGAATTTCTTGAGCTTTAGCATCATCCTTGAGCCACTTGGTCAAATCATCCCCCGCTGCTGAAGGTTTTACTCGGGAACCATTTACAAGGTCGAAATAACCTCTACCCTTCAGAATAATTGTTGTTTGGAATTTCCACACTGGCCAATTTCTGCCCGTTAATTTTAGTGTCGCGTCGCTGCTCATTTTGTTTTCGTTATTGTTTTTATGCCTCACAGGCTACACTTTACCGAAAAACTTTGCTGCCAAAAACTGAGCCAAAAACTAAAATTGTCACTTTTTTATGGCGAAACAACTAGTCCCGTTTTCACGAATGTCTGGGCCCATAACCTGATGGGATTATAAATACACCGGAACTATTTTATTGAAGTATTTTATTTTAAATCAAAGAAAAATTACACATTTACTTCTTGCCTTGCCAGTATTACATAACCACACTTTTGGCAATAATGACAGAGCGCACAATTTTTGGCGGTGGAAAAATATTTACGTCAACTCGACGTCAACTCATTTCAAAGTACAGTGTTACCAATATAAGAAAAATAAAGAGAGCATCAATTTGCCATTGCATAAATGCATACAGAGATGGCGCTACCTGTATCAATTTTCAACAAAATGGTCTAAAACAATAGTTGCCAAAATGGATAAAGAAGATTACATTGTAAAGACATTAAGTTTGTTGGAGGACCAATCCACTTACATTGAATTGAGGAAGGACCCAACTACCACGATTCAGACTAGGTACAATAATACAGGGTGTCCCACGGTGGATGGCGTATTAGACATTTATGGAGAACCAAAAAGCGGATCATTTTGAAAATTTGGCAATCGTGATAAACGACCATGATCTACACTTTGAAAATATTTTTGGCCATGCGGTGTTGGCGCTTCTACTCTAAACCAGTGGCAACATCGCTATTTTTAATGAAACACCCTGTATGTGATTGCATATTTGAATTCTACGTGAAATTCTGAGCAGATTTCATGCATTATACCCTTTACCTAAGTTCAACTGTTTTGGAAATATTGACAGTTGAAAATTATCTTTTTGTAACTTTGACAGGCTATTAAACCTAAACGGTTAATTTTAGAGGAAAACCGATTTCACATTCCTATCTTAGATTTTCTTAAACTATCATCTGACACCAACTTTGAATTTAACCGGAGATTAAATTTAATTGGAATTTTTAATCATGGATTATATTCAAAGTTGGTGTCAAATGATAGTTTATACAATTCTAAGATAAGAACGTGAAATCGGTTTTCCTCTAAAATTAACCGTTCAGGTTTTACAGCCTGTCAAAGTTGCAAAAAGTCAATTTTCAACTGTCAATATTTCGAAAACAGTTGTACTTAGGTATAGAGTATATCACATGAAATCTGTTCAGAATTTTACGAAGAATCCAAATATGCTATAACATACAGGGTGTTCCATTTAAAATAGCGATGTTGTCACTAGTTTGGAGTAGAAGCGGCGTCACCGCATAAACAAAAATATTTTTAAAGTGTAGATTATGGTCGTTTATCCCGGTTGCCAAATTTTCGAAATGATCCGCTTTTCAGTTCTCCAATAACGTCTAATACGCCATCCACCGTGGGACACCCTGTATAATTAAGTCCCTTAAATCTAGCCACCAAATCTCTGATGAGCAAGCAAGGATGTTGACAATTTACAACTCTTCCTTTCCAAAATTGTACTGTTTGCCTAAAATACATAAACCTAATGTACCTTTACGCCCCATAGTCAGTTCAGTTAATGGCGTGACTTACAACCTTTCAAAATTTTTAGCTTCAATTCTAAAGGCAACTTTTGAAGATAGTACCTATTACAATATTAGAAACACTTTTTCGTTTGTCAACATCATTAATGGCTTCGACTTACCTGAGGACTATGTATTAATCTCCTTGGATGTTGTGTCTTTGTTCAAAAACATTCCGCTCAATCTTGTTGTTGAAATAATAGATAACAAATGGGAAATGATCAGTTCTCACACAAACTTATCAAAGACTAACTTCCTGAAATTAATCGAATTTACTTTTGAAAACACCTACTTTTAGTTTCAACAATAAATTTTACAAACAAATTTTTGGAACCCCAATGGGTTCTCCCATTAGCCCAATTTTGGCAACGATTGTTTTAGACCATTTGCTTGATATCGTAATCCCTTTGTTACCTTTCGACATGCCTTTTATTTACAAATATATGGATGATTTGATTTGTTCTGTGCCTTCCGATCATATTCACCCCACACAACAGACTTTTAATTCTTTTCATAATAAAATACAATTCACAGTTGAACGTGAAAACGACCGCAGTATTGCATTTTTGGACACTAAGGTAATCCGCACCCAAGACAACTGATTGATTCTTGATTGGTACCAGAAAGAAACTGCTTCAGGTAGGTTTATAAATTATTTTCCGAACCATCCCACCAACCAAAAATATAACACCGTGATAGCAATGAAAAACAGGATAACACACATTAGTGATGAACGCTTCTTACCACAAAACTTAAATAAGCTTTTTCATATTTTTCTTAACAATGGTTACCCCAAACATCTTTTGAATAAATTAATTTACAACTCTAACATTTTTGATGGTCCAACTGTACCATCTTCACTTTTAATAAAATACAAAAAACTTCCTTTCATAGATCACTTATCCCATAAGATTATTTCGTTGTTTAAAAATTTCGAAAATATAAAAATAGCTAAATATAATTTACTAAGAAACCAAGATTTATTCTCCAGAGTTAAAGAAAAAACACCTTTGTTATACAGTTGCAATGTGGTATAATACCAGATTCCTTGCTTGGGGTGCCAGAGTTGTTATATTGGACAAACGGCTCAATGGCTCAAGCAACATTTAACTCAGCATAAAAGTGACTGAAGAGTGGGAAAAAACTCTTGTGCTTTGGCTGGTCATTTTCAGAAAACAGGTCACCAGTTTGATTACAATAATGTCAGATTATTAGCACAAGAAAATAATTATAAGAGCAGACTGTTCCTAGAAATGTATCACATTAACAAGAACGGAAAAACTTTGAACTATAAGTCAGATACCAGTCAACTCAGCAATATCTATTGTAACATATTGAAACGCATTTAATTATAACAAAAAAAAAATAAATTGTTATGTACTAGCTTTCAGCAATCTGTTATTGATGTTGTCACCCCGTATTCTGTTTGTTGATAATTTTTGGTGTCTCCTTTGTATAGTTAAGTTAGGTATTATAATTTTGATCTAACGTTTTTTGATTTTGTGGAATGTCTATTATAAACAAATTTGTTACTTGTATGCAACAGAGATTTGCAAGGCGTATTTTACGTTTTTCGATTATTCTGTTAACACCTATTCGGTTGGTTTCCCGATATTTTTGAGGTTTCATGTAACATGTCCATTGTATTGTGTTGACCTACCCTACGTTTTGTAAGTAATCAGTAATTTTTATTTTTAAATTTTAGCTGTCAATTGATATTTTTTTTTTTTTTTTAATCTATATATTTTTTTTTTAAATTGTTATTTCCAATGATTCCAATAAGACCTGCACTTTCATTATTTTCTCTAGTTTTTGTTTGTTAGTTAAAGGAATTTGACCACTGTTTTAATTTTTATTGTAGATTCTCCTGATGAAGTCGCTAAATATAGGACGAAATATTGAGAAGTAAAAAACAAAAGGCTTTTTATTCAGTCACAGACCGCTTACCTGAAAATAACTTCCCTGTTTTCAATATATATATATATATTTGGAATCAGGAAGAAAAGATCTTTAATTTTATATAATATATAAAACATAATATACAGGGTGTTCCATTGAAAAAAGTAGAAGTTGCCTACGTTTCTCCATTTTCCGATGCGATTTTGTTTTTTCTGATACTGTCAAAAGAAAATATAGAAAAAAACTGTCAAGTTTTGTATTTAAAAAGAAACTTAGTCTAAACAAGGCAGGATAAGATTTTTCCGGAAAAATAATGTAACTTTAGCAATAAAAGTAACTTCAACTACCAAAAGTAGCTTAAGTAGCTTTCGCAACGTGATACGTTATATTTTGAAATATATATATTTTTGAATTTATTGTTGAATATATTTGAAATGGAATTCAAGTGTTGTCCAAGTAAACCCCCCACAAGAGAAATTAAAAACCTGTTCTGTATTGTTTGCTCCAATATTTTTCACAAGAGTTGCTCTGATAGGAATGCGTTTCACAAACTACACCAGCATAAAGTTATTTGCTCCAAAGCTTGCCATGACAGGATGCTAAATCAGGAATCTTCCGAGCGGTTAGTGGAGCAAAGGGACAGGGAGGTCGCTTTTTTGGAGGGGGTTGTGAAAGACCTAAAAGCTGAAGCCAGCCATAAAGATTCTTTCTATGAAAATAAAGACATAGAGGATCAAACTTTAATTGAAAATTTAAATATCCAAATAAACAGTTTACATGAACAACTAAAACATAAAGACAATCACATAAGGAGACTGGAGCGCGGTTCACGTGTACTCAGCGATGAAGCCGAGGAATTTGAACAAAGCTGTAATCGTAGAATCGAAGAACTGCTCGGAAGGATTGAGGGATTGCAAGCTAATTAGTCACAGGTTAATGAACATAAGCGAAACCTTGATAAATCAGTCTTAAATTACAAGGATGAACTGCAGGAACTATCACTTCGAAACCAAAGGATGTTGACTAAAGTTGGTGTTCTTGAAAAAGAAAATGCAAACCACTTAAAGCATATTATCAGCCTCAGAGAAGAGATAAATAAAGGTTCTAGTCAACTGATAGACCTTCCTGACGAGTCCTTTGCCAGCCCTTCAAATCGGAATACTGTGCAAATTGGAAGCGAACATGAAAGAAAACTTCTAATTATATCCGATGAACATGGAAAGAACTTGGACCGCAATATTCTGAAGCATCTAGACAATGGCAAGTACAGGGTGGAATCTGTAATCAAACCTGGTGCTCATTATGACAGTGTTTTGGAGGGTCTCGAAAGGACTATTAAAAACTATAATTCTGATGACTATGTGGTTGTTGTTGCTGGCTCAAATGATTTTTTAACTGGAAGTAGGCCTAAGTTCTATAAAATTCATGAGAAAATAGGAGTATGTTTCATATTTTTAGCATGTCCCAGCACAATAAAGAGCCAAAGCAGCAACAATCTCATACAACAATTTAATAACTGTCTCAAACAAATCATTAACACATATAATACCACTTCTAATAAATCTTTTGATTTTATAAATATCAATATCAACCATGGTATTAAGGTGAGGAACTGGCTGATTGGCAAAATGATTGCAGAATCAATCCAACTTAGTGTGTTGCAGAGTAAACTAATGAACAAAGAAACTGGCTCAGCCTCTAAATTGACTCAAGTGAACCAATCTATTTTGCCAACCGACGGTTCCCAGAATTCTATGTCTCCCCAGGCTTTGGATAGGACCGGGATGTTTTTTGGTTTGGGTACTTCATCCCATTCGATAAGTTTATTTGATGAACTAAATACTAGCTGTGACGGAAGCAATATGAACCTGAATTGTTCTTTTTTAGGGGGAAACATGACACAAATAAAGGGTCCTCCCCAAACAGCTTAGACCATGTTTCACTAATGCTCTTAAACATACAGTCAGTAAGAAATAAAACTGATGAGTTATATGTATTCCTGGAAAACGAAAACCATCCCCATCTAGTTCTTCTAACTGAACACTGGCTCAAAGAGGGAGAACCCTTTTTCATCCCTAATTATTACATTTTGTCACAATTTTGTAGAACTTCCTCTAATAACGGTGGAACTACCATACTCATAAGTTCTGAATTTTCATCAAGGTCAGATTTTCATAACTGTGACAAATTTGACTTTTTAATATCTGAAAAAATATTTGAATTTTCGTTGCTGTTCTCAAAAACTCTTAATGCGTAGATTTTGTGCATTTATCGCACACCAGATAGTAATGTCTCAAGTTTCATTGATAATTTTGAAATTCTTTTGTCAAGCATGCCATCAAATTCTAAAATAATAGTTGCAGGAGGTCTAAATATTGACTTTGGGGATCCTGAAGCACATTCTACCGTTGTTTTACTTGACCTCCTGGGATCATTCAATCTGAGAATGCACGTTAAGGAACCTACAAGAATTACAGAAACAACATCTACCATAATCGACTATGTTTGCTCCAATCTTGATTCTGACCTTGAATGCCGTGTCGTTGACCCAGCCCTCTCTGATCATCATGCCGTTGTAACCTCATTGCCTCTAAAATTCAAACATAACAGCTCTTACAGAAAACGTGGCAGAATATTTAGCAAGAAAAACTTTTCCATTTTTAAGCAGATCTCAACCAGGACACTTTGGCAACCCATTCTTTCTAAGGGAAATCCCCTTGAAGAATTTCATCTCGTTGTAAATTACTTAATAAGTGAATCTTTTCCTCTAAGGCCCCTTCGTAAAAAAAGGTATAAAAAGCACTGGTTGACAAAGGGCATCAAAATATCTGCAGCTAACTTGAGGTCTCTTAATGTTATAATTTGTGACTTCTGTGGGTCCTGGAATTGCGTGGCCTGTTCAAGGTTCTCAACCTCAGAGGCTCAGGTGACCCGGTTAAAATCCAGAGTAATGCTTTATGCGTGCAGTGGCTGTGTAAATTCCGTGAAGTCGCTTGGTAATGATGTTGGCGGCGGCTTGAAAGTGCTAATCAGAAATATCACCAGTGAGGTGTGTGACACACTCTACACCAAACTTGCAACTAATTATAATGATTTAAAGTTGAAACTGGATGGTGTTACTGACACTGTTGGTGAAATCAAAGCCACTCTTTCTTCACTGGAAAAACCAATCACTTCTGCAGTTAATAATCTTTCGGAAATAGACAATACTAGCGTTATCATGCCTAACTCAGCGGCATCTGCTGTTTATGATATGAAGCTAAGGGAACTGGAACAAAGTAACAAAGATTTACAGACAAAGTTACTCAAACTTGAGAATGAGTTCCAGCTGCTTACTGCAACCCTGAATTCTATGAAAACTGCATCAAGCTGCTCAGGTTCTTCGCAAACCCCATCTCAGTTCCCTCCTAATCTGCGGGCGGTACCCATCAGGAATGAATCAAGAAGCTTTCAGTCATCAAATAGCCTGCAACTAGCTGGACAGCAAAAGTCCCAGCGACCAATCCGCAGCATAGAGCGCCAATCAGTGCCTAATCCTGTGAGAGTATCGGACCGCTCAAGTAATAATCCTGTATTAATTGGCACAGGTGCTGATGGAGGTCTTTTTTCTGCAGGTGAGAGACGCCAGTGGCTATATCTGGGTCGATGTGATCCGAGTACCACTGAGGAACAGATCTCTAACTATTTGAAGAATCAGCTCTCCATTCCTGATGTCAAATGCTTGGTGTTGGACAAAAATGAAGATGTGGTTTCATTTAAAATTGGGGTTAAAGAATCACTTTTGAAGGGCCTGCTGGATGCTAACCTCTGGCCAGTAGGCATTGCTGTCAAGGAGTTTCATCCTCGTCGTATGGGGGCAAAACCGTCCAATGCAAATTTTCAGAGAGGAGACAGAGAGGACCAGTCTCGTTAGATTGTGCTTCCTTTCTCTACCAAAATGTAAGAGGCTTAAAAACCAAACTCAAAGATGCTTTCTGTGCGGCTCGCGCCGAATCTTTCTCAGTTATTGCACTTACGGAAACCTGGCTAGACTGTAGTATCTGTGATGCCGAATTTCTTGACTCGCGTTACACGGTTTATCGCTCTGATAGAAGCAGTCTGAACAGTACTAAAAGCCGTGGAGGTGGGGTCCTTTTGGCAGTAAATAATTGCCTAAAATCTCATCGCCTGTCAATTGGTGAAGCATCGGTCGAGGAAACGTGGGTGTCTGTTACGCTGGGTGACATGGTCTTCTGTATTGGCTGTGTCTACATTCCACCTACCATGGATGTGCTCCATTATGAAAACCATTTGAAATCAGTTGCTGGTGCCTGTGAAATGTTTGATAATGTGCTTGTTCTTGGTTCCCAAATAACGTGGTCCACTAGTGAGGATCTCTCGGGTTTATTACCTGGAAATGTAAGGACAACTAAGGAAATATTGTTATGTGATAGTACTGCTTCTCTTAATCTGTCTCAATACAATGGGGTGGCTAACGATCATGGTTCAATCCTGGATCTATGTTTTGCCAACTTTGGGCCTATTTCACTTGTAACATCTGACGGTCTGGTGGGATGTGATCGTTATCACCCAGCTCTAGAGTTTTCCATACCTGTTGTTAAAGCTAAATTTCTGAAGCCTCTTAATTATTTTTCTTATGACTTTAAAAATGCCAATTTTGATTTGGTTAATGAATATTTTCTTTCCTTTGATTGGCGATCCATTATGATGGACGATCTAAACGAAACTGTTAAGAGCTTTTACTTGGTACTGTTCGACTGCTTTAATATGTTTGTTCCAATAAAGGCACATTCTTACAGCGAGAAATTTCCTATCTGGTTCTCTAACGAATTGAAAAATCTGATTTTTCAAAAGAAAATTGCTCACAGACGATTCAAGCGGTCGAATAGAGGTTTGGATTACTTTGCATTTAGTACACTTCGGCGAGATTGTAAAAACCTCACCAAAGAGTGCTATAAATTATACATAAGTGATACTGAAAGAGCCATAGGCACCAATATGAAAATTTTTTGGAACTTTATTCACTCCCAATCTAATCAGGGTACTATTCCTAACGAAATGTTTCTTGCCTCAGAAAAGGCGTCCAACGGTGTTGACATAGCTAATCTTTTTGCTGTCTATTTCTCCTCCGTCTATAACCCTCAGAGAAATTCCGACGCTGGAACCTTTGCTGATCGATTTGAGAATGTTTCAAGCATTGTCATAGATCCAACAGATATTGAGAGGGCTTTAACGCAATTGGACATCAACAAGTCTGCAGGACCTGATGGTATTCCCAACAAAGTACTAAAATCTTGTTCTAACACTTTGTATCTTCCTCTGTTTAATATTTTCAACAAATCATTATCTTCTGGAATTTTTCCAGAAATGTGGAAGCTCTCCTACGTTTGTCCTATTTACAAGTCAGGCAGCAAAAATGATGTAATAAATTACAGACCCATCAGCATTCTGTCTGCGATTCCAAAATTATTTGAGCAGTGCGTGGAAGGAATTCTTTCAAAAATATTTCATCAGATTGTGATCAGTCAACAGCACGGTTTTACAGCCGGTAGATCCGTTGAGACGAACCTGTTTCTCTTTACAACATTCATAAATTCATCATTTGCTAATAATGCAGAAACTCATGCAATATATACTGACTTCAGTAAAGCCTTTGATAAGGTAAATCACAACATCCTTCTTTCAAAGCTTTCAAGTTTCGGCGTTTCTGGACATTTATTTTCATGGATGAAATCATACCTTACTAACAGAATGCAACAAGTCAAGATCGATGGCTATCTTTCTTCTCTTTTCCATGCATCCTCTGGGGTACCCCAAGGTTCTCACTTGGGCCCCCTTCTATTCAGCTTATTTATCAACGATTTAGGATCGTTGCTCTCGTCAAATTTTTTACTTTTTGCTGATGACTTGAAGTTGTATCGTCAGGTGACGTCAACTCAAGACATACTTATTTTGCAAAATGATCTTAACATCGTTCACGATTGGTGTCAGCTTAATTACATGTCCCTCAACATTGATAAGTGCTGTTGTATAAGATTCAGTAGACGCACCCATAGTGTTCCCTTGCAGTATTACTTAAACAATGTTCGCTTGTCTGAAGTTTCTATCATTAAAGATCTTGGTGTCTATCTAGATACTAGGCTAATGTTCACTGAGCATTTTGAAGTGGTAATTGGCAGGGCTAATAAAATGTTGGGGTTTATTAAGAGAGCTACTAGGGACTTTACAAGTATACACCCTATCAAAATTCTTTACACATCACTGGTCAGGTCCGTTCTTGAATTTTCATGCATAGTTTGGTCACCTTACTATCAGATCCACATCAATAGGCTTGAGAGTGTTCAACACAAATTTATTAAGTTTGCAAGGTACAAACTTTCTTTGAGTGGTGTAATTCTCAGTGAGGACCTGACTATGACTTATTTAGACTTATCTACTCTTGTTCGCAGAAGGGAATATTTTGATGTCTGTTTTGCATTTAAAATTCTTAACTACTACATAAAAAGCCACGAATGTCTTGAATGTTTTAATCTACACATTCAAAGTTATCAGACACGAAGTACATCTTTACTGCACATTCCTTACTGTCGAACCTGGTACCTACTATTCAGTCCTGTGAATAGAATATCTGCCAATGTAAATAAGTTCTGTGAGGGCCTTGAGTTCTTTGGTTTATCTCTGGATAAATTTAAGACGAAGGCCAGGAGAATTGTTTTAGGTTAGATTTTTTTTTTTATTTAGATTTAAACTCTGTTCAACTTCAAATGTATTTTTCTTATACGTAAATAAATGAATAAATAATAAATAAGAAAACACTACCCTAATACTCCTTTTATTCAACATTATTATTCCCAATACCGAAAACAATACAGAAAATTGATTCATCTGGCAAAGCAGTCTTTTTATTCTAATCGTCTAACCAAGGCCACAA